TGATGCAACCTGGGCTGGGCTTGAAGTCCTGACAGCCACGGGAAGGCAGAGCTCATGATATCATGGCAGTTAAAGTTATTTAGCACTAGGCTTTGGAATAAAGCGTCTTGGCTCTGTTTCCCTATCGTTCCCTTTCTCTGGTAATGTCACCAAACTTGGACAGAAGCTTCCCAAGCTGTGCGTTTGCCTTGGGCTGATTTTGCTGAAGCTCTCAGGAGAGAAGGAGGGGGTAGGAAGGAAGCCTGGCATGTACGAGCATGAAATGGAGGGGAAAATATGGTGCTTTCCCTATGGAAAAGAAGTCCTGCTATTGTTCCCCTCCCAAAAGTCGTGCTGTGGGGCTGGGGCTGCCCAGGGGCTGTGCTCTGGGGCTGGACTGTGTGCTGACCCCACTGACACTTGCTGAGGGACATCAGGATGAGTCTCCAAAGATCTCACCTGTGGAGCATCCTCTGCCCCTCTGGACCTCAGACCTGAGCCCCCCGCCCCTCGCTCCACCGCTGCCCTCCCATCTCTGAAGGCTCAGCTATGGGCATGCACCTCTCTGCTCCCCACGCATCTCAGGGGGCTTATTTCCAGCAGCTGGCATCCTTTCCAAATCTCCCTCTACCCATCTGTTGTTATCAAGCCTCCTCTCTCCTTATTTTGCTTAATTTCTATCTTTTTCCTCTTGGTTGTCTTAGACATGCCTGTGTCTCTCTGCAGATGCCCAAGCATTTGCTTTGAAGTGCCTTAGGCTGCTTCCTGCCATTATCTCCTTGCAGGAGCGAGGGAGCTGCTGTTCCTTGCTTTGGGAGAGGGACCATGTCCCTGAGGCAGTTATTGAGGAGCGATGCACTCGTAGAAGTTTCTTTGTGGCCTCTCTGAGCAGAAAATTTGTTGTTGTATCTCCTTCTTTCCAACTGACAATGTCAAAACGGGATCAAGTTGGGTTGGTTTGGTCTGGCCTCCTTGTCTCTGTGTGTGTGCCCATAACCAGACCCTGCTCCCTGCCAGGGAGAAGTCACACCTACTCACAGCACGACCCGCTCTGGGGAGGTCTGAAATGTGGGTTTCAGGCTGGGGATTTCGGGAAATAAGTTCTGCTTCATTTTGGATAGTCCAGAAAGCTTTTTCTGGAAGAGGCTTCCATCCTGCTGGGAAGGGTGGTTGGCAAGACCAGCTGGTGCGAGATGAAGGCTACTCTCGCCCAAATAACTTGTTTTTTCCCGGCTGTTGGAATGATGCCAGCCCATCCTTCGCTCCTCTGAGACGCGGCTCATCCCGCCGCGGGCACTGGCTGTGGGCAAGTTTGCCGGGAGGGTGTGGGGAGCCTGGGACAGCAGCGAGTTCTCCCTGCCTGGATCACAGGAGTGCCATCCCAGATGGATGTGCTGCTCAGCGCGGGGATGCTGGTGCATTCTAATTGCTGGCATCTTTACTTGTTACGAGTGTAATTGTGAGTAGACGTTTGTTTTTGTATTGATAATTAGGGACTGGAACAGATGGCGAAGGCTTAGTTTAAAGTAATGTGTCCATTAAAGAAAATCTACTGTATACAGCTGAAGATTCTTCACTCTAAGAGAGCTCAGCTCTCAGTAGCAGAGCTCCTCTTCTCCCTAATGAGGGCTTTGGCCATTACAGCCTGGGCAGCGGAGCCACAGATCCCACACACTTCTCCCAGCGAGTGCCTTGAGCTCCCTCCTTGCAGAGCATCCCCATGGCACCTGCTGTGCCCACGTGCGGGTGGGCAGGCGTGGAAGGAGTTGCTGGAGAGCAGGTGAGGGGATGGCAGTGACTTGGGCACAGAGCCTGCCTGGTGGGACTGGCTGATCCAGGTGGGCAGGCAGCATGTGGATCACCCGGCGTGGTTAATGATGCCGGGGCACGGGGAGATGATGTACCCCTGCACTGTGGGGATTTAATTAATGTCCAGTGCCAAATAATGAGGACTGGTCCTCATGGAAGGACGAGGCAGGTGGGAGGAGAGATGCAAGGTGTCCATGTGGCTTCTCTGCTCATTAAGGGTGCTCAGGCACTGATCTGCACTAATCCCCTCCTTAGCAGGCAGAGCAAAGGATTTTCCTGCCTGCCCCTCCTTTGCCTGCTCCCAAGTGGTGGATGGCTGGGGGGGTTGGATCCCTGTGTCCCCACACCTGTAGGGGTATTTTGCAGATGTGAGTGCTGGCGTCCCCGTTTTGTCCCCCATTTCTCTGTGAGGACTTGGGATCTGCAAACCCTCCCCTGCTGAAGGAGGATGCTCAGCAGCCTTAGCCCTGAGAAGCCTGTCCATAAATGTCCCACTGAGGTCATGGTGTCACTTTTACATCCCAGAAAATGAAGGTTTCCTCCAAGAGGAAATAGGAGAGGTCAATGGGAAGTTGCTGAGCTGAGTCCTTCTGGTGCCAGTTCCTCTGCAGTCACAGGGTTGGGTGAGCTCAGCAGGAATTTGAGCTGGAGAGGGCGATTTAACCATTTTATTTTATCTAACAAAAAAACCCCAAACCAACCATTTTGCCAGGCTGTGGATCTTCTTGTCTGTGGCAGTGTCGTTGGGAGATAGGGCAGGACCTGAGCAGGAGATGTTCTTTAGAGGGTCAGGCTGTCGGCCCTCTTTTTCCTTTGCTGTGCAAATTGCTTTGGAAACATGGAGCTATGGAAGGGCAAGTGTTGGCCACCAGAACTGGATTTGTTACCTGTTGTGCAACAGGCCCCAGAGTCCCCTTAGGACTCCAGAAGCATCCAAAGTGAAGGCTTCTCCACAGTTATTTTCCATTTATTCATTTATTGTTAATTTATTTCTCTGTTTCTTTAGTTATTTTGAAGTCTCCTGCTTCGGCATTGCTGCTGTGCCTTCCTGCTTTCCTTGCAAAATGTGAAGCCTTTGGGGAGGCACAGAAGAGGAGGGATGGGGTGAGATTTTGGGAGGGGTCCTGGTGAATGTCACCTCGGAGCAGAGCTGGTCCTCGCGTGCTACTGTCCCACAGGCAGCTGTTCTTTATCAAAAGTACATTCCTCTGTCAAACCCTGGGGAAGGAAGCTGTAAGTGCATGGAACAGGAAGGGAGATGATGGAGTGAAAACCCTTTCTGAATAAACCCTTGGGAGAAGTGCCCTTCCTGTAAGGGAGCGTGTCCTTATTTATCACAGGGTGGATGAGCCAGCCCCGGTCCCAGCCTGGCCACGCTCCCTGTGTCACCCTGTTCTCTGCTGCCTCAGTTTCCCCTGTGTGGCACAACAACAGGACACCTTGTTTCCTGTGGGGGAGAACACCAAGGGTTTTAGGGGCTCTCAGAGCATCCTCCCGATGTAGCCAACAGGCAGGGGGCACTGGGAGATGTTTGCAGGGCCAGTCGCTTCCACCTCCACGTCCATTTAGGCTTGGACATATCTGCCTGCTCACTTGAAGGGCTGTAGCAAGGATTAATGGCTGTTTGATTAGGGGCTGTTTAATTAGAGGCTGGGCTGTTTGGAGGAGAATGAAGGCTTGGAGGTGATGGGATTAGAAACTTGCAGGAGGTCTGGAGCACCAGGGCCTGGAGTGACAGGACAAGGGGGAATGGCTTTTCACTGCCAGAAGGCAGGGTTAGATGGGATATTGGGAAGAAACTCTTCCCTGTGAGGGTGGTGAGAACCTGGCACAGGCTGCCCAGAGAAGCTGTGGCTGCCCCATCCCTGGAAGTGTCCAAGGTCAGGTTGGACAGGGCTTGGAACAACCTGGGCTAGTGGAAGGTGTCCCTGCCTGTGGTTGAAATGAGATGAGCTTTAAGTTCCCTTCCAACCCAAACCATTCTGTGATTCCATGATTCGGGGCTGGGGAGGAGTTGCAGCTGGGATACCTCATTTTTAGCTGCCTTCTACCAAATGGAAAGGGACTGAAACTGTATAAAGTGACCTGTGATAGCGTGAAGGCCACCAAGCTTTTCTGTTTTCCGTAGGGAGCAGGAGTGAAATGTCTCCTGTCTGAGGGCACTGTGGGCAGGAACAGCCTGGCACCATGGAAAGAAGGAGGGCTGTGTGTTTTGAACCCCCCTGGCAGTGCCACAACAGCATCCCGGGGCTGGTTAGGGTTGCAGAAGCTTTGCCAGCTTCCACACCCTTCTCTCTCCATCTCTGGAGGGGCTGAACCTTGCTCTTTCTACACCGGTGCCCGTGCTCACCCCCGGGAGCCAGGCCAGGTCGGCAGCTCCGGTGGGGATTTTGGGAGAGGGAGCGTTTATCACTCGTGGCAGGGCGGGGAGTTCCCGGTCACGCTTCTCCGGCTTCCCATCCCGGAGCAGCCGGCAAAGGGAGGGGTCGGAAGATTAATGGGAGTCTTGTTTCCCGCTTGTGATTGCTGGAGCAGGCGCGGAGAGATTAAAAGCAGCAGCCCGGCGGCAGGTCAGATTCCTGGGCTGATTTTTATTTCCTGACCTTTATTTCTCTGGTCACACCCGTTTTCCTGGCGCTGCGAAGCTGCCGTGAGTACCTGGGAGCACAGAGGGAAGGGGAGGGGTGGGGGATGCTCGGCTGTGCCAGTGGCACTTCTCCTCCTCCCATTTGGTGGGGACACGGGAGTCGAGGAAATTAATCTGCATGTCTGCTTGCTGCAAACAAATAAATAAAACCTGGAGGGTTTTCCCCATCTGTTTCTAGATGGTGTTGCTCTCACTATTATTCTTGTTGTGTTCTGTTGGTTTTTAGTTTTTTTGAAGACTAAAAGTAGGAAATGATATGACTCCATGAAATACAGCATCCTTTCATTTTTAGGCTTTTTTTTTTTAGTTGGTAATGGTATTTTCCTTTCCTGGGTGTGGAAGGGTCAGAGCTGGCAGTGTGGGCTGGGTTCAGGCTGGGACTCTTTGCTCCGGAGCGAAGCTGTCCGATGTCCATTAGATGTGTTAGGGCTGCTGCTGTTTGATTCCTGAGCACTCCAATGTCGTGCTCGCTGTGGGAAACCAACTGAAGGTTTTTCTGCTGCTCTGTGCTCCTAATGTAACCAAAAACTTTGGGAATAACTTTCTGTTTCTTCTGTTTCCTCAGAAACTTTGATGGATACGCGGACGGCGACGGCCGAGCTGGGCTGGACTGCCAACCCACCCTCGGGGGTAAGTGCCACTCGTCCAGCTGATCCTTACATAGTCTGGTGGGATTCATGCTTTTAACCCTGCTATTTGTGGTGGGAAGCTGGGGGAGTTGCAGTGGGAGCTCAGTGACAGACACCAGGTTGGTGTGGGGTGGCCTGTCGCTGTCCTGAGCTGCGTGGCCGATCCGGGCTGAGCGTCCTTTCCCTGAACCGATCCCGGGGGCTCGGTGAAGGTGGAACTTTCTTCCATCTCTGTGCTCTCTCCTTCCCTTCCTGTCCTCCTTCCCGGTGAAGGGTCCGGCCCCATTGCTGCCGTCCGCCCCCTGCTCGTGCCTTCCCTCTCCCTGTGCCAAAAGGCTTGTAATTAGGAGACATTAGCAGGCTCAAAACAGCTTTCATACCTGGAACATCATCTGTAATTGCACTCGGCAGTGCTCTTCCTTGGCTATTAATGTCACTTTTATGAAGTAATGAGGAACAAAACACCCTGAGGCACTTAAAACATCTTTTTTATATAGTATCAGCCTTTGAGAAATGGGAGCATAAAATAACCTGACTCACATTCTGCTGGCAGAAAAAGTGAGAGATGGAGCTGAGGGGAGAGGAGCAGTGGAGGTAGAGGATGTGAGCTGATGGATGGTCACCACGGTAGGACAGGCAGGCTGGAACAGCAGCAGGGTCCATCCCTGGGGACTCCAGGATGTGGCACTGGAGTGGAAAGGATGCCAGGCTGCTTCTTTGTTAGGGTGTGACTGGCTTGGCTAGGTCTTCAAAAGAAATGAGGTGGCACACCACCAAAGCTGAACCACACATGCAGTGGGCACAAAATCCACTCCAGGCATGTCAGAGCCCCTTGAAATGAGGGGCTTTGCTACTGCATTGCTTTGGAAATAATCTGAGCCTGGATAAATTGCTGGAAAAATGCAGGAGGGGCACATGCAGGTGATGGAGATGGGATATAAATAGCTGCCTGCAGCTGCTGTCGCTGAAAGCCCATGCAAGGCAGGCAGGGAGCTTGTGTTATAAGGCATGGTGGTCTCACCCTCTGCAGAGCAGCAGAGTGAAGCCCCTCCCCAGCCCCGATCCCTGCATCCCACCATATTGCATCCCTCCATCCCTCAGTGCATCCCTGCAGCCATCCAACTCTCGGCTCCTTTGGGAGTTCCTGGTGAGGCTTCTCTGTCACAAGAGTGTGTATTAGGTCTTCCCCAAAGTATTTAAAATGCCAGGTCCTTTATTTAAAGTCATACAGTCACAGAATCCTCCAGGTTGGAAAAGCCTTCTAACCATCAAGTCCAACCATTCCCCCAGCACTGCCAAGGCCACCACTTACCCATGTCCCCAGGTGCCACATCCAGATGGGTTTTAAATCCCTTCAGGGATGGGGACTCCACCACTGCCCTGGGCAGCTGTGCCAGGGCTGGACAACCCTTTCTGGGAAGGAATTTTCCCTACTATCCAACCTAAACATCCTCTGACACAACTTGAGGCTGTTCCCTCTTGTCCTGTCCCTCGTTCCCTGGGAGCAGAGCCCAACCCCCAAATTCCCCCCTCCTGTCAGGGAGTTGGAGAGAGGAAGAAGGTCCCCCCTGAGCCTCCTCTTCTCCAGGCTGAGCCCCCCCCGCTCCCTCAGCTGCTCCTGGTGCTCCAGCCCCTTCCCCAGCTCTGTTCCCTCCCTGGACGTGCTCCAGCCCCTCAATGTCCTTCTTGTAGTGAGGAGCCTAGAACTGATCCCGGGATTCCAGGTGGGGCCTCACCAGTGGCCAGCACAGGGGGACAGTGACTGCCCTGGTCCTATTGCCACACTATTCCTGACAGGGAGAGGGGTTCCTGGCTGCTACTGGGGCATCAACCCCTTCTCCCGGGCTCCTCTCAGCTCTCTTGGGGCTGGAGGCACAGGGATTTGTTGGGCCAGCTTTCCTAACCCTGTGGTTGCCATTGGCATGGGCTCTGTGCAGGCTTTGTGTCCTTTTGGGTGGTGGCATCTCCCCTTGGTGTGTGCTGAGCTCCCACTCCCAGTTCACCCCAGCTCACAGATTTGCCCTCTTGGGGCTTGGGGAATGTTGCTGTTTATGCCAGGGCACGATGCCAGCCAGGCTACAGGGGCTCTGGCAGGATGTGGGCTCTTCTGCTCTCCCTGACGGACGTGCTTTAAATCTTAGTGGAGACAGAGAACAACATTGACTTAATCCCCAGCTCCCTGTGAATTATTTAGTAGCATCTCATCAAAATGATGCATTTGTCGCTGTTAGAGCATCGGTGGCAGCAGCAGCTGCTGGCACTGTGGGTCTTTCCAGCCACGGGGATCTGCTGTTCTCTGTGCCAGGTTGCAGGAGGGCTCGACCCAGGGGATGCCCAAGGCAGCCCTAAACCCTCGTGAGGGTTTTCCAAGGGGCATTTCATGTCGTTCCTAAATGCAGGAAGCCCTGAAGTGCAGCAGGGTCCGCTGGCAGGTTTTGGCTCCGAGTTTTGAGGCTCTGAGGGTTTTGAGGATGAAAAGGAGGATTCCCACGGCAAGGACAGCAGAGCCATGGGAACGGTGTTAGCGCTGGAAGAGAGCTCGTTTTCTGGCGTTAATTGGATGTGGGGCTGCAATGGGAAGCCTGGGTGGGAACGGGAAACAATGCCAGCCCCCTCGGTCGGGGAGGACTGCGCCGCTTCTGCTGTGAAAAGGTGTCTGGTAATGAAGGGGCATTGAATCCACACGCCTTGTTCAGGGGGGAGAGGGGGTTTTGCAGCGCTTTCACAGCATGGGGTGAGAAGGAAGAGCACTCAGCTGGATGCAGGAGGCTTTATTGCTGGTGTGGTAACCATGGCTTAACAGCAGTGTGCAACTTTGAGCTGTGATCTTGGTTTAAGCTTAGTGGAGCCAAATAGGTGGACCCGGGAGTGAATGTTCTGCTGCACTTGTCGGCAGCATGTTGAGGACCCTGCTTTGAAAACACAGCTAAAACCTGCATTTTGTTACGTCAGGGCTGTGGTTTACAAGGGGGGGAAGCTTGGGGAGGAGTCGAGAAATGTGGTTGTTTAATGGAAAAGGGAAGAGGGCAAAATCTGTGAGGTTTCAGGGTCAGTTGTGGTGCATCAGCTCGTCAAGACTCCGTGTGATGGGGCAGGTTGGCATCACCCACCGTGCCCCCATGTAAACACAGGCATGAGTGCTGCTCTAACATCGCTCCTGGAAATTATCCCTGATGCTGAGCGCGCTGCTAAAGATTGCCATATGAATAATGCTGTTATGAGGAGACTGTAAACATGGATTAGTTAAAATGAATGGATTATGAGGTTGTAAATCTGTCTGTAGGACTCTAATGCCATCATAGACTATTCACAGTTTGCCGCTGTCCCTTAATTGAAATTGTAGCCTGGATTATATTAATGCCCTTCTATAAATCGAATTGCAAATCTATATTCCCTCTCTCCACGGCAGTAATGTTTTATTTAGTTAGTTTTCTTTGCCGGGGGAAATGATCCCGTTGTGCCGGGAGCTTGGGGTCAGGCTCTCCAGTCCATGTGCTGGCTTGGGCTTTAATGAAGCTGTACCCTTGTGTAGTGCCTTCCCTCCCACCTCCAGGTGCCTGCCTGGACCATCTTTCTTCCCATGTTTACTTCTCAGGGCAACTGAGGCAGTTGCCTACATGGAAAAGATGTTTTAGTATTGGTTGGGAGCGGTGAGGAGACACATGCAGGGGCAAGAGGGTGAGGATTTCTTCTGGTGCTGGCCTTGGTGGTGTTTCTGCATGTGCACCACATTGTGTGTCCATAATCACATTCCTAGTCCCCTTTGGAGCTTTGGGATTGTCATTCCAATGCCGAATGCAGGGTCAACGGCACCTCCGCGGCTCACAGGCCGCTGCAGGTCCCTCTTCCTCCCTCTCACCACTTCTCCCTTCTCCATCCCGCAGTGGGAAGAAGTCAGTGGCTACGACGAAAACCTCAACACCATCCGTACGTACCAGGTGTGCAATGTCTTCGAGCCCAACCAGAACAACTGGCTCCTCACCACGTTCATCAACCGGCGCGGCGCTCACCGCATCTACACCGAGATGCGCTTCACTGTGCGGGACTGCAGCAGCCTCCCCAACGTCCCCGGCTCCTGCAAGGAGACCTTCAACCTCTACTACTACGAGACAGACTCTGTCATTGCCACCAAGAAGTCCACCTTCTGGACAGAGGCACCCTACCTCAAAGTGGACACCATCGCTGCTGACGAGAGCTTCTCCCAGGTGGACTTTGGGGGCAGGTTGATGAAGGTGAACACAGAAGTGAGAAGTTTCGGGCCCCTGACCCGCAATGGCTTTTACCTGGCCTTCCAGGACTACGGGGCTTGTATGTCTCTGCTGTCTGTCAGGGTCTTCTTCAAGAAGTGCCCCAGCGTGGTGCAGAACTTCGCCATCTTCCCGGAGACGATGACAGGAGCGGAGAGCACGTCCCTGGTGACTGCCCGGGGCACCTGCATCCCCAACGCCGAGGAGGTGGACGTGCCCATCAAGCTGTACTGCAACGGCGACGGGGAGTGGATGGTCCCCATCGGCCGCTGCACCTGCAAGGCTGGCTATGAGCCGGAGAACAACGTGGCTTGCAAAGGTAAGGTTGGCTTTGGGTAGCAGGGGGCTTTTGTTGGTTTTAAGACAAAATATTTGTCCCTAAACAAGCTGTTTGGAGCAATGTCTGTTGTGAAACTGGCTCTGCGCCATTTCCCTGCCCTGAAGTGGTTTTACTACAGGGACCAGGCAGGGATTTGGGAGCAGTGGCCAACCTGTGGCTTCTTGGAGCGCTCTGGTCAGTGGCCAGTCTCGGTGAGGCCGCGGGTGCCGGCGCCGCTTCCGCCGCCCTCCCGCTGGAAGCCGCCTCCGGGATCCGGTGCCTTCAAAGTGCGGCGCTCACCGGCTGAGCCGCTTTCATCTGCCTCGTTATTTCCCCGGCACAGCCGCGGGAGCCGGGCAGCTGCCGCCGGGCCTGACGGCGGTGGAGCTGCTCTGAGCCTGGCCATTAATTGGGACTTTGTTTGCTGGTTTTCCGGGTTCCCCCAGCCACGCTGCCGGTGTGCTGCTGCCTGCTGGAGTCCTGCAGCGCGGGGTTATAAACATGAAATAGTGCTGCCTGCTTTTCATCTCCTTTCACCGATGAATATTTCCCAAATACCACTGGAGGATTACTTTTTTCTTCTATTGGCCGCCCTTTCCTTCTCCTCTCCCAAATTAAGGTGTTGGTTTTGCACGCTGCTTGGAAGGAGAGATGAGAAGGATTTTTGCATGGGATGCTGACTGTGTTTCATCAGTCCCAAGTAGCTTCTAGAAGGTCAGCACCACCAGGACAAGGAAGGGTTGGAGAGAAGAAGAAGGTCAAAGTGCTTTAGGGCTGGTTTTGGGTTTGTAGTGGAAAGAGGTTTGACTTGGACCTCTTTTAGTGGAGGTGGTGGCAATGTGTGTAGCACCAGGCTTGGCTGTGATGCTCCTTGGGGTGGCCACCACCGTGTTTCTTCTTCATCTGTAACTCTGGATATGTGAAAATGGCAAAGCTGAGATTCAAGCTTTGGAGAAACTCGTTTGTTGGTTTGCTTTAAACCTGAGAACTTGTGTAGGTTTTCACCATGAGAAACCTCATTCCCACCTGGCTAAGGTGGGATGGCGGTGCCTTCCAGTGCCAGGGCTCTGACAACTGGCGAACCATCAGAATCCTTGCTCGAGCAGCACTGCTGGTGGATTCCTTTGGGTTTTGTGTTTGACCCTGGAGGTGGTTTTGTTCCCGCTGGGAAATGGTGTATTCCCGTGAGGAGCTGAAGCTCTCCGTCAGAGGGAGGGCTCTGCGAACGGGAGCGTTTCTGGCGAGATGTTCCTCTGCTGTTGAATCAACAAACAGAAAAGGCACATGGTTTTATGGCAAAATGACATTTTCTTATCACAGGAAAACAAGTACTAGTTTTAGCTAAACACTGGAATTGGGAAATAATGTCATTTTGCCAGAAATGTAGGGAAATAGTGAGAACGTAAAACCGCGGTGGGTTTTGGTGGTGTTGACCTTTCCATCTGCCCCCAGTTGGGGTGGTGGAGGAAGTTGGGGTCGTGGGTGCTTCTAACCCCTGGGAAGAGTGTGATGCACCTACTCAATGCTTGTAGTTTGGGGCAGGGTGGAGGATGAAGGACAGCAGGACACACGAGAGGCATGGCAGCAAACCTGCTGAGGGTGGGTGTTAGACCATCTCCGTGGCTTTTTTTGTTTCCTTTCCTTGTGCAAACCCCACAAGGGTTGTGATGTGTTCATGCCATCAAAGCTACACTGAGCAGACCCTGGCAAGCTGGGGATTTGCTGGGGTTTCTGTGCTGCAGTGCCTGTCTCCAGTGTGCTCCCACTGCTCCGGAGTGCTGATGCCAAAGGAGAAACTGCTGAGCTCCTGGTGAGCATGCTGTCTTTGCATGGGGAGCATGCTTTGCATTTGGGCTCCTTGAGGGGAAAATTAGGGATCCTGGCAGCTCTAAGGGCGTACAAATACCCTTTATGGATTGACTGGCAGCATTGAGGGTCCTGAAAGCCGCTGAAGTATGCTGTGGGTGCAGAGCAAGCAGGTGGTTAAATGGCACCAATCACACCTGTGACGACAGGACCATGCTGTTTTGATGATCCCATAGGTGCTGGTACAATGCTGTTGGCAGAGGTGATCTCCAGTAACTCCCCTTTCCCAGTCCTGTGAGAGTATTTCCCAGTTCCCATGTCAGGAGGACAGAGAAAAGGCTGGGATTGCACGTGGGACCTGCACATTTGGTGATCCTGCTCCATGGTGGTGAGGAGCCCAAATCCAATACACACACCAGCCCCTGGAACTTCACTAGAACCTCTCCTAAAAGCTTAATCCAGGGCTTACATTAGGGCTGTTGGAAAATTATAATTGCATTTGAGTAACAATCTGACCTTGGATTGGACTCTGGCTCCTTGGTAGCTTGTTGGCCATCAAGCTCCTCCTTGTATCCCCCTGGACCTTGGAGATGGCCAGGGAAGACCTGAGCCCACCTCTCCCCTTCCCAGAGGTCGGTGGGCAGGAGGTGGCACATTGCAAAGTTTAGGAATAATTCCTTGGTTTTCTGTTTGACTTTGTGTTCTCTGAAGGGTTCCCTGCCTGGTTCTCCTCGCAGGGATGCTGCCAGGATGACACCCTGGGAGCTCCTGGGAAGCACATGCTCCTGACATCTGCTCCAGGCCTTCATCAGCCCGAGACAAGCCGCTTAACAAGCCGGTGGGAATTGTCACCAAGGAAAAATAAAACGATAAAGAAAATCCCACAATATTCGAAGGCTGAGAAAATGGGCTTAATTCCTCTGTGGTGGGGAAAAAAACGGGGTTGAATTGTTTAGCTCTCCCCAGCTCCCTTTTCTCCCTCTCCCCCCTGGGACAGAGGCTGTGCTTGTCATGGGGCCATTAGATCGGAGCGGGTTCGTGCTGACAGCAGAGCTCGGGGCCGCTCAGGGAGTCATTAACGCCGGCTTTTATCGGCACTTACCTGCTCGCGGGAGGCACCGGCACAACGCCGTCCTCACTGGGGGGGATTGGAGCCACGGGAGATTATCCTCATGTTTTAGGGTCAGAGGGATGGGGGCCGTTTCCACCACCACGCCAAGAAGGGGGTGGGAGGGAAGGGGGTTGTCTTAATCTGCCCCGTTATTTGTCCCCATCCCAGGCTGGGTGGGGTTTGGCACAGACCTCCTGGCACAGCTCTCAGCTGTACCCCAGAACCCAGTGGACTGCCCGCCCCATCCTCTTGGGCACCTCGTGCCCATGTGAGCGGTGGGTCAATGGGAAATGGAGGCTGCTGTCGAATCCAAAATGAATAATTCATTTGGTGCAATAGCCCACGCTCCGGTCGGGCTGATATTAAATCCATTTGTCTTGCTCTGCCCCGTCCCTCAGCCTTGCTTTATGGCTTCCTTGCGTGGTCAGGGGGCAATGCATCATCCAGCTGGGGAGGAGGTGGGAGGAAAAGCGGGAGCAGGGATCACTGGGAGGCAGGGGAAACCTTGAGATGAGCATGCTGGGTGGGTTTCACTTGTTCTCCTCGAGGAAGGTAATTAAATCCTCTCTCTGCTGGTGTTTGGCTCTGAAACCTAATGATGGCGAGGTAACCCCTGACTAGAATGTTGGCAGTCGGGAGTCTCTCAGCTTTCATCCCTTTTGACTTTGAGGAGGGGGGTATTTTTGTCTGCTGGAATCACACTGACTTTCTCTGCCTTTCCCAGTACCAGGCACTTACTCAGGTGCACGGAGCAGGAAGAAGTCTGGGTCTAAACCAGCTTTGTGCCGAATTTTGATGTGGTATTTATAAGTCCAGGGAGAAGGGGTGTGAGAGCAGTCCTGCTGCTTCCCAGCCCTGTCTTGCTTTCGATTTTCCCCTCCTGGCAGATTCCTGTCATAGCATGTTCAGGAGCCTTCAAGGTGCCGCTGCTCGGGATAATCAGCCGGCCTGCTTGCTCCCAGCAGCTGGAAATCTGAGCCAGCAGGGGGGCAAAAATTAAACAAACCCCCACAAAAGAAGCACAAAGCTGGGCTACGATGCCCATGGTGCAAAGGCTGCTCCTTGAGCATCCTTGCTCCCAGGAATCCCTGGCTTTCCACGAGGCAGATGATCCCCTACCCCATCTGGATCCAGGTTCCCCCCCCCCCCTTTTCCATGTGCCGACCGATGTGCAGGGCTGTGTCCAGCTTTTGCCAAACCTCTGTGTGAATTTATTCTGGTCTCCTTCATCCCTTTGGTTTCTGTTTTTTCTCCGTTTGTCCTTCCCTCCTGCCTTGTGTTGTGGAGGGCTGGATTTGGGAAGGGGCAGTAGTGGGGAAAGCATCCCACCAGTTGAATGTCAAGGAGTGAGTAGCCTCACACTGGTCCCCCATTGTCCTCCCCTCCTTTTGAGCAGCCTTAGTGATAATTATTGATTTCTTCTGCTTGTCCATCAGAGAAGATTGGAAACAATAGGATTTATAAAGTGATTTTTTAAAATGCTAATTACGAATGTTTTGTAATTAGCAGTAGAACAATTTGCTAACCAGGGAAACAACTTAAAACAAGGGAAATGTCAAATTTTCACAGTCAAATTGTTGCTTGTGCTGAGAACTGGGTCTTTCTGATCTCTGGCTGTGCCCTTGCCTGCCTTTTCCCTGCTCTGTGGTCCAGCCTGGTGCCCCTGTACCATTTTGGGGCACCTAGGAGAGGTTTTTCTCAGGTGGTGAAGGTGATGTTGGTTTTGTCCCATGGGTGAATGGCAGGGATGTCATGGGGACACAGCTGCCTTCTCCCCTGTGCCTTGGAGTGTATCCATCCCATCCCAGGGTTCTGCAGCTCCTGATGCCTGGGGCAGTGAGCAGACCAGGAATTGCAGGGGCTGCAGAAAGGCCCTTTTTTTTTTGCTTTTTATAGTGTGGCTTACTTTTAATTTTTTCTCAGTGCTGCTGGTTTCATGTGTTTGAGAATCATCTTTCCAGCCTCTGTGCTGAGCCTACTGCCCCTTGCTTCTCCACCGCTTCAGCATCTCACTCCAGCTTCCCTGGCCCACGAATGATCTCTCTTTGCACATTTTCTCCTCTAAAACAAGAGGAGAAAACCAAAGAGGTAAAAAGAAAGTACTTGCCCTACCCCTCTCTCCCTCCACGTGCCCTTGGATTTGGCTTAGCAGGGCTCGGGATGGGGCCAGCAGCGTCACAGAGTAGGGCAGGTGCTACAGGGGCTGGGGAGCCTATGGATAAAAATGACATAATTGGGCTTAAAACCCATCAGAGTTCCTCAAACTCTTTCCTGGGGGCCAGTACGAGGTCAGCCAGTTTGTTCCAAAGCCTTTCCATCCCGACCTGCTCCCGTGGACACACGGTGGGGTCTCTGCCTGGCAGCTGGTGCAGGGGAGTCTCTGCGGCTGGTGCTCACAGTGCTTTAGGTGGTTTTCCAGGGAAAATGTTTCTCTGTGGGTCTAGAAGTGGGATTTCAAGCTTTCCTCTTATCCAGGGTG